CGCTGCTGGCGAGGACGTGAGGAAGTGCGGCTACCTGCGGAAGCAGAAGCACGGGCACAAGCGCTACTTCGTCCTGCGGGCCGAGAGCCACCTGGCCCCCGCCCGCCTGGAGTACTACGACAGTGAGAAGAAGTTCAAGAGCAGCCTGCGGGCGGGGGGGGGCGGCGGGGCCCTCTGCTGCCCCCCGCCCAAACGGGTCATACCTCTGTACCAGTGCTTCACCGTCAGCCGGCGGGCTGATGCCAAGCACAAGCACATCATTGCCTTGTACACCAAGGACGAGTACTTTGCCATGCTGGCCGAGAACGAGGCTGAGCAGGAGGCCTGGTACGAGGCCATCAGCGAGCTCATGAGCCAGAGCAAGAGGGGCTTCCTGGAGCAGGAGGACCACGCTGATCAGCAGTTGGATGAGGATGACGAGCACTATGGTGCCACCCTGAGACCCGGCACTGTCTTCAAGGAGGTGTGGCAGGTCAATGTTAAGCCCAAAGGGTTGGGACAAACAAAAAACCTCACTGGGGTTTACAGGTTGTGCCTCTCCAGCAAGGCCATCCACCTCGTCAAGCTGAACTCAGAGGTGCCCTCTGTCCACTTGCAGCTAATGAACATTCGCCGTTGTGGACACTCTGAGAACTTCTTCTTCATTGAAGTGGGCAGATCTGCCTCCATTGGGCCTGGAGAACTCTGGATGCAAGTGGATGATTCGGTGGTTGCCCAGAATATGCATGAAACTTTTCTGGAGACCATGAAAGCTCTAAAGGCCTTTGCAGAGTTCAGGCCCCGGAGCAAGAGCCAGTCTTCTGGTGGTGGAAGTGGTACTAATCCTATTTCCTTCATCACCACTAGGAGGCACTTGGGCAACCTGCCCCCCAGCCAGACGGGCTTGCAGAGAAGGTCGAGAACTGAGAACGCTGCTGGAGGGACTCCTCCTACCACCAAAAGCAGCAACTCTTACCGCTTCAGAACATCCAGTGAAGGAGAAGGAACCATGACCAGACCTTTTAGGTCAGTGACTGGGAGTCTGATCCACCTGAATACTGCAAGGATGAATTTGGGCCGGCAAGAAGGGAGTGGAAGGTACGTGAGGGCCACTTACAGCTCATCCTACCACACCAGGTCTGCTTCGCTGCCTGTTTCTCATTTTCCCTCCACTACAAGTCCCATCAGTGTTTCTTCCAGTAGTGGCCATGGCTCTGCTTCGGACATGCTGACCAGGCCTTCTAGTTCATCTGTTTGTGGTTCCCCAAGCGATGGGGGTTTTATTTCTTCTGATGAATATGGCTCCAGCCCTGGAGATTTCAGGTACTTCCGGGTTAGGAGTAATACACCGGATTCCCTGGGAAACACACCACCCATCAGAGAGGAGAACTGTCTGAGTGAATATATGTCCATGAGTAAGCAACAGGCAGATGACAGCTCAAGGGATGATTATATGGAGGCTGAAAAATGTTTCAGGAAAAGAACTTACTCTCTAACAAAACCAACTTCTGTAGCAGTGCAGCAGAAGACAACACAAACCACAGCTTTGTTGGATGAAGATTCTGCAGGAAGTCATGGACGATTGCTTTACTCTGAAACACCAAAATCAAAAGATAACCATGAATTGGAGTACAGTGATGCTAACCTTGATTCCGTATGTAACCAAAGTAGGAGTAAAGCCAGGGATGATGGATACATGCCAATGATGCCAGGAGTTGCACCTTCTCTATCCAGCAACAGTGATTATTTGCCAATGACTCCTAAAAGTATGTCTGTTCCAAAACAGATTAACAATTCATGGTCACCATCTCAGGTTGACTCCAGAGGATATATGATGATGTTTCCAAAGGCTAGCTCTTCGCCTGTACGAAGTCCTTTAACTGGATTTATTTCTAAAGGAAGTAATGAGAAGATTGTAAACAATGAGTACATGGATATGTCACCTGGTAATTCAGCTCCAAAGCACCCCGGTGATTCTAATTATATTCACACCACTTCAGTTTCTAAAGGTTTCAGTTCATATTTTTCTTTGCCCCGAAGCTTTAAGGCATTATCAGGACAAAATGGTGACCACAGTGAATATGTTCCAATGTCTTCACCTGGAAAACTCTTGTATGGTGGACCAGAAAACATAAAAGGGGTCAGCAGTGAAGCTCTGGCTAATGGCATCTCTAAACCACCAGTGGTGAAAGGTTCAGATGAAGGACTTGTGCAGAACAGGGCTACTCGGCCCACAAGGCTCCCCCTAGGTACTAGAGGGAGTAACACTATCCCCAGAATGTATGATCGTACAGTTCCACCTGAGCCAGCAAGTCCTGGTGAATACATAAATATTGATTTTAATGAAAAGGCAAGTAATACACCATATTCCTTATCTGCAGAAGGATCACCATCATCTCTAGGCTCAAGCAGTGACCACAGACAGTCTCCGCTTTCTGATTATATGAGCGTTGACTTGGATGTACAGTCACCAAAAGCAGCAAAGGAACTGTCCAATTCTTTAACAGATATTTCCATTTATGCAAGTTCCAGTATTCCTAGAAACCAACCAAATCCTGACTACGCCAGGCTCTCATTTGGCACCGCTTGTGTTAGCACTGCCAGTAACAGGACTGATGACTACACGGAGATGACATTCAACATGGCAGCAACACCGCCACGGCCATTTGCCACCGAGGCTGAAGATGGTGTGAAGATCGAGAGCCCTTCTTCCATAGTTAATAGGCTGTGCATTGTTGATCGATACGCTGGTAGCAGTAGCTTCTCTGTTCCCAATCCTGAACCTCCTATGGGACCGAAAGTGATTCGAGCTGATCCTCAAGGCAGGAGGAGACACAGTTCTGAAACGTTCTCTTCTGCTGGGACTGTGACCACCTCCTCCTCTTTCTTTACTGACAGTGGCAAAAGACACAGCTCTGCCTCATTTGATAATGTTTGGTTAAAACCGGATGAAAACATTTCTGATGGTCAGGAAAGCAAAATGTCCCGGGATACCTCAACTGGATTTCAGAATGGCTTAAACTACATCGCTCTGAATTTACGCGATGATCCTATAAGCTGTGAGGCAAGTACTACAGCACCAACTTGCCATCTCCAAAATGGTACTTCAGGTTTGGACAGTGGAGCCTACGTAAGCATAGATTTCAGCAGATCTGATGGTCTGAAGTGCAGCGCTGCGAGAAAAGGTTTGGAACTTTAACAGCACTTTCCTTTCATGCTTACTTAACTGTAGGACTTAGGTTCTCTACTTAATACTAAAATGTGGTCTTCAGAGTGGGGTAAATGTTCTTTTTTTATAATGTTCTGTAGTATTCCAATTGTGGCACAGTATCTTAACTGCTGTACATAGTCGTAAGGAGGCATGATCCTTGGCCTAGAGGATTTTTGTGACTTCTGGGCAATTAGAGGTGCTATCAAACTGTCATCTGCCTTGGTTTTCTAGAAATTTTGGTGGAATAAACACTTAATTGTGTTTCATGTTGTGAATTCTTATCCTGAAGTTATGGTAGCGCTTTTTTCCTTCACTTTTTTTTCTTCTTCCTTTCTTAAAAATAGATGAGTCCTCACTCTTTTTTGTGAGCTTGATATATTTTAATTTGTGTTGTGGATAGCAAAGGCTGAAAATTGCTAATTTCGGTTCAGACATCAACATTTGGGGCTTCCATCTATTTCTTTCAGTAAATGTAGGTGAAATGCACGTTTAAGAGCTTTTAATGTGCAAATCTATCCCTGGAAGATGCTCCTTTGAGAACTGGTTTCCAAAATATCCTTGTATTCTCCCTTGATGGCTGACCAGGGTGGTCGGGGGGTGCCTGCATCCCATGCCCACCACCTTTTAGAAGTGTGCAAGGGTTTAGCTGATCTGTAATCCTTCCACTGCTGTGCAGAGGGATCTGCCTTTTGGGTGACAGGGGAGGAACACCTGTAGCAGAGGAGGAGCAGGTTCTGAGCAGTGTCATCCAGGTCTGAAACCTTGGAGAGAAGGCCACAGCTTTTAAGCGACCAGTGGTCTGACCAACACTAAGGTAATGTAGTTTAAGGTGTGCAAAGAAGAGAAGAGTTTTGGGAGCAGAGAGGAATATGAGAAAGAATATGGGAAAGACGAGGGACACCTTCTATTACTATTTTAAGCTCTTTGTTCTCATGGTGGGAGCAAAAAATAGTAATTAGCTATTAGTGGTAATATGTGTGTCCACTGACTGAACAGCAGTGTTTGTGCAAGCACTGCATTGCACTGTAACTTTAGAAGTATAATCCTTCTTTCTGTGTTAGTGACCCACTGAACTCCTTACAGCAATTTGCCTACCCAGATAGAAAACTGGACACGTTGGAAAGGCTGTTCCCCCCTCTTTGCAAATATACGTGCAGTCAATAATTGATGAATAGTAAGAGGAAATATTTAATCTCTGTTGGACATTGATATTTGTCTTTTTCTCTGTAAACAGAGACAGCAGTAAAGGGGAAGGCTGCTGCTGGCTTTTATATTTTAAATTACAATCTTTTACACTTAAATGATGGTGCTTTTTCTAGTTTCTAAAACTGTCTAAAATCAGAAGGTATTGCAAGAGCTTAAAATTGTGTAGCCTTTAATAGTGGAAGGTACAAGCCTGACTCAGCTTGCATGCCATTCGGAGTCTGGCAGCACTGCTTGGGGCTGCTCAGAAACGTGTGGTTTGCCTCAGTGGTTTTTTCTCCTCTGCTTTGTTTTGTTGGTTGGAATCGAATTCAGAAGACATTGAAATTTGCCAGTTCAAGAAGTTTTTTTTTCCAAAGTTAGTCTTTCAGCACTTGAAAAATTTGTCTGCTAAGTCAGAGGCACACTGATTGCTGCAGCAGATTTGTCTTTTGTGGGTTTTTTTGGTTGGTTTTTGTTTGGTTGTTGTTTGGTTGGTTGTTTTCGGGTTTTTTTCTGCTGTCTGCAAAGACAGCAGAATTCCTATTTTATATTATTCCCCTCAGATGACTGAAGTTGTAAAGTAAAACTTTTTTAAAATGGAAGGGAAAAAAAACCTGACCAGTTTATTTCCATCCAGCTGAATGGTAAATAATAAGTTTAAAAATATTTTTCCAGAGAGAGAATCTGTTTAAAAATTGTATTTATGTTAACGTTCTGCTTACTACTGGGGTTTTTCCCATGTCTATTACAAGTTGCAGAGGGGCAAGAGACTTACAGCTGATGTTTTTTGCTGAGAATTCCAAGTTCTCCGAAAATGAGACATGCATTAAAATGAAATGAAATAAACTGCATAAAAACATGGGCATTGCCAGGAAATTAAGCATGAGCATAGTAAGAGCTTAGTTTGGTGTCTTCTTTCTAGTCCTAATAAGAAAAACAAAATTAGAAACACTGCTCCAAAACAAGGCCTAGCAGTTTTCTATGAAGACAGCATAAACTATTTCTGGTATATAGCAGGAGGCCAGGTGATGTGTGGACATTGGTCACTTGTAGGTGGCTCATGGAGGGGTGAACAGATTTCAGAAGAGTCCAGGCTAAAAGTAGTTTGCCAGGCTTGAACACAGTGTTTTAAATTGGTGTGTATCAGTTTCTTAGTAATGACTTGGAATTCTTGCTTATAAGGATACCAGTTTTCATTCACATACTAAATTGTTTCTCTGAGTTATAGCAAGCATAATTTTAGAAGTCTATTCTTTAAACAGCTCACGGGTTTCTGCTGGTTTAATATTTTTCTGTAATCCAGAAAAAGAGCTTCACATTCAATTTTGAGTAATGAAAATAAATAACTTCACTCTTAAACTTCTTACATGCAGAAAAGGTGTCGTGTGCCTTTGTTTAATTGATTGAAGACTTTTATGCATCTTTCCTTTTACATCCCACTCTGCCAAAAAAATGCTCTGTAGTTAAATCCATTCTTAAGGAAAATATTTAGCAGATGCATTTGCCCTTTACTTCCTATGAAGGAGCTATGCCAGATTTATTAAATTCTGCCAGGTAGAGGACTTGATCACTTCTTTTTAAACTGCAGTTTTACTGGAAGGAAAACACTTCCCAATTTTGGATTCTTTGCTTCTTTGTTTTGTTTTTGTTTGCTTAAGTGGAAATTTATGTGACTGCATTCTCCTGACTGCTGAGGGTGGTAAGAGTGATTTTCAATGCATCACTGCCTCCTCATTGTAGTTCCCAAACTACTTCTAGTTCAGGTTCACTGATGTGAATCAAACCTTTTTTTTAATTATTTTTTTCCCCCCCCCTCTCTCTCCATTCATGACATGGAGAGAGGGAGGGGGAGGGCACTAACTGGAAATCGTAAATAGGCCTGACTTGTCATTAAACTTTTATTTGAGGTTTAGGCAATATTGAGCTTGGGTCTTATGTTGATAATAATGATAAGAAGAGTATAAGGTTCTAATATTCAATGCTTGAAGTTTAAGGAGGTTATTAGCAAAACAGTTTCATCACAAAATTGTTGCACAATATTGAAGCAAGCGGTTTGCAGTTTTGATTACATGAATCTGAGTCATGAAATTTTGTGCTATGCGTACAGAACACTAAAGCTACTTCAAACAGGGCTTAGCTAATGTATACCTTGTTATTGGACCTTGTAGAAACTGAGGAGGATAATGAGAATGGGGTGGTAATAAACTGAATAATGGGTTCTGTATAATGCAAGTTTCTTCATTCCTAATTAGCTATACTAAACCTGCAAAGATACTCTGGACTCCAAAACAACTGTTCAGAGTAAATGTAATATTCAGCTTAGTATCAAACCACCTATTCTACACCCACTCTTTAATCTTATCTCTAACTGATACTCGAACACTATGATAAGATATTATTTCAGAAGTTCTCTAAAGTGCAGGATTATAATTTAAATATTCTTCACCTTTTTAATCTCTTCTGTGCTAGACTGGGCGAGAGTGTTGTGTACCCTATGGGGAGCTGAAAGGAAGGAAAATAAGAACAGTTGTAAAGCAAAACCTGTGTTCCAAATTGTCCAGATACTTTATGGTAACTTGTATGTTTCAAATGCAAGATCTTGAAGAATATAATGAACAATATACACTTTGAGAAATTCAGAAGCTGGAAATTTCAGCTATTACTAATATAGTAAATTACAGTTTATAGGATACCAGGCAAATAACTGCCCCTTTTGGGTTTCAGACTAGTGGTTTTTAAAAGTTTGCTTCAAACTGAAGCTCTTTTGTATCAACAGAATACTTAAGGCATGGGTGCATTTAAAAATAACGTGAAGAGCTCTGCTGAAGCACATCTGAATGCTGCTATATAGCCTGTGTCTTTGAAGTAATACATACTTGACCAAGAATCAGTTGGGTTTTACTTCTGCTTGGGTGAGAAAATCTGAGACAAGAATGTTCCCCTGCCATTGAGAGAGAACATTTACTTGTAGTCAGTGTTGAAATACTTTGGAAATCAGCTTTTCAGACTTTAAATCCACAGTTGCAGCTGGTGGTGATATGTGTCTTTTTTGGAAGTCTGAAACTTTCTGCTCGTAGCTGTCTCATAGGTTGAAGCATTGCTGCAGGATGTGGGGAGTTCTGGGAGTAATCTGGTACTGATTCAAACTTTAAAAAATAAGTCTTTTAGTGAAATCTTAAATGCATTATTGCCCTTTTATTTTTCTCTCTATAACTCAACATTTTCCCCTTTTTCCCCTGAAGTCTGAGGGTCCCCTGTTTCCCTTGGCTTTTGGGGTGGTCAGTGGGAGCAGCATAAGGGGTGCAGTGCTTATCCTGTCCTTCCAGCCCAGGGTTACTGGGGTGGTTTATCACTTGGTGTTTCTTAGGGGCTTTTTGTAGGTCCAGTGGCTTGCTACCAGTAGGTAGAGTGTGGGTTTGTGTTTTGTTGTTTTTTTTTTCCCCTACATATGCTCTTTTTTTAATGAAAGGATCTTTAGTAAGTTTTCCTCATATTGATTGCTGGGGAGAGAGTTTATACCTTGAGGTTTTGGATGGTACTGAAAAGACCTTATAGTACTCTGCTGTGCCTTAGTGTGTGTTTGTGTGCTCTGTGGATCTGTGGTGCTCCCAAAAACATGCTGAATGGTGTCTAGTATGCTGAGTGCACTAACAAGTTTGTTTTCCTGATCCGAAGCAAGAAACAAACTCTACAATTTTATTTTAAGAACTGTTGAGATCAAATGTGGAGGTCTTCAACCCAAAAGAAAACAGGGTGATAAAACTGAAAGGCATGTGAGAGAGATTCAAG